GTCTCCACCCTCCCTGAGCTGCCGTTACTGGCCGTGAACGTGGCTGGCACCGAGGCAGCTGTGAGCGTGGCCTGGATGTGGCTCACCAGGCATCTGTGCACCTGGCCCAGGCTGAGCACTGAAGCGCCTGAGTCCACCCTGCCGAGGAAGAGGCGCTTCCACAGCCCATGTCCCCAAGCAGTCATGGAGGCACGATGGCCGAGCCCAGGTGGCGCCCACAACCACCGCACTGCACCCTGGGTAGCGGTCCACACACACTGGGGGTGCCTGGGAGACACTCCCACCACCACCGCCATCCCCGTCCTGGTGTTACGTGGCGTCGTTCTCCTTCTCTGGAAGCTGAGGGTAACTTGGGCCAGGGAAGGCCAACCCCAGGGCAGCAGGCCACAGCATGCCCTGGGCGACCTGGAGGCAGCAGGAGGCAGCCTGGCCCCGAGCCTGCTGGGCCAGCTCCGTGGAGAAAGCACTGCGGTCACAGGAGCTGGCGGGGGCACGGCAACGCCGCCACTACAAGGGGACGGGGCGGGCTAGCCCATACTTCCACGAGGGCCCGGGCTCTAGCCCTGTCTGGGAGGGCAGCGTCCTGGGGTTCTGCCTGGGCTAGGCTGCGACTCTTGGCCAGGGTGAGGGCCGCCAGGGAAGTCCCTCTGCTGGCCCCTTCCAAGGCCCCACGGCACTTCCAAAGTGCCCTCGCCTCCTCCTGCCAGGTTCCTGGCCGTCGCTAGCACCCAGCCCAGGGGCGCATCTGTGCGGTTGTCAGGCTGAGCGCGAATAGTAGCACACGCGTGTAGATGGCAAGGTAAAACCGCGCGGGGGAGGGTGCCTCCCGTGAACCACCAGGTGGGCTTCAGGCACGTAGACAAAGGGAACCACCGTAGGGAAAAGGCAAAGCCGGAACTTAAACACGCTCACAGCTGAGCGGAGCTCCCCGGAGGCCTGCTGGCTGCCGCTGCGGCAGTGCTGAGCCTGGGGAGCCTGGCCAGCCCTACCGGGGTGCTGAGCTCATAGCAGCACGCAGGCTGGGCCCTGTCCCCTTCAGGCCCCATCACCCCAGTGCCCCCCCAGAGTCCAGGGAACGCCCCCAGGGGTTGCGAGGGTTCTGGGGTAATGCAGCCTTGCTTCCGTGAGCTCAGCATGCCTGCCTGTCTGTCTCGGCTTCACTCCCCAGAGTGCCTCCCTCCGCCCCACCTTAGATCACGGGGACCGTGTCCATCAGAGCTGGACAGAGTCTCAGACCCGAGTGCAATGTGGAAGTCTGGGCCGCAGGCCTTCTGGGGGACAGAGCCCAGCTGCCTGCCGTCTGCCCTCCACTGCAGGCCGTGTGACTGGCCGGCTGACGGAGGTGGGGCACGTGCCCGTCCCTATGGCAGTGCTCCCTGTGGGGCAGTGGGCCGGGGCGTGGCGGCTCTCTGGAAGGGCTCTTCCTGTGTAGGTCTGCGAGGGGACGGTGGGAGCACAGAGTCCCAGAGACCGCGGCGCTCGGGCAGGGGCAGCTTTGCAGCATCCTCCACCCACTGCCGGCCATGAGTCGGGCAGCAGCGTCAGGGCACAGGCCCGGGGCTCATGGCCCTGCACACCCCAGGTGCCTCCGCTGCCAGGCAGGCCGATTGTGCCCCCCGGGAGGGCGTGTGCTCGCCCCGTTTCTCCTCACATTCACAGTTTCGAGAATCATGTCAGAGGGTGAGTGCTGCGGGGACAGAAGGGAGAGCGGAGACCCCGATGGCGGTCAGGCTATGGCCCCCGCTTGCCATCTCCACCCCATGGGACCGGGCACACCGCCATGGCTTTCACGCCTCCAGGCCAGTGGTCTGACCGTGCACCTGTGCTGCGGCTTCCTTGTCAAATGCGGAAAGTACTGAGAACCGTGTCTGGCGGGCCTCGCACCCCCCACCATCTCATCGCCATATGAGGGGCTTGGAAAGCATGCGTCGTTGAGGAACCGGATCAGAACACCTGGGCTTAAAAGGGACGTTAAAGGACGACCCCAGACTGGAACAGGTGGGCCCGTGGGCAGCGCGTCAGAGAAGGGCCTCTGCTATTCCAAGATGCGTCGTCCGTGACAGAAACCCACCGAGGTCCTAGTCTTTGTTCAGGCCACACCGACCACCCTTGATGTGGGTTGGTGGCTTCCTGGGAGAAGCACGACTCGGACCGCCGTGGTTCGCAGGTCGAATCTGGCCTCTCCAGCGCTGGTCCCTAGGTCAGCGGGGACTGCTCTGAGCCTATTTCCTCCTGCATGAGAGGGCTCCCCAGAGCGGCTCCCCTGGGGAGTGCCCCCACACAGCGAGGACGAGGACGAGGACGGCACCTCCTTGCTCCACTCCAGCTGCGAGAAGGGGCGTTTCCCCAGACAGGCGCTTTGCATGAGTGAGCTCCCGAGAGGCCATGTGTCCCGAAGAAGCAGCTCATTAATCTGCTCTGCTTGCGAAAGTGCTTTCTTATCAAATAATAGGGCTGATGGCGGGGCGGCCCGGCGCTCGCGATGCGCGGTTCCCTTAAATGCGCTCAGATCTGCAGCGGTAAGCGCCTTTCGCTGCCTTCCGCTTCTCTGCACTGTCTCCATCTGTTTACCCAAAATGGAGCTAATGAGAGGAGACGCTACTGGGTGAGTTAAGGGCTGGCTTTGTGTGCTCCCAGACTGGCACATCCAGCAGCCTCCACAGTGACACACACGGGCCTGTCCCCACGTGTCCCCTCACTGTCCCTGCTCTCTTCTCCCTCCGTGGTGACCATGTGTCGTACCCACTTGTCTCCCCCCGCCCCCGTGGAAGGGCCTTGGCCCGCCAGGGTCTGCGGCATTGCCCAGCCCGTGGAGCCGACGGCGGGCTCTGAGGGTCTGTGTCCCGCCGTCTCCTGGCCGGGAGCCTTTGGGCCAGCTAACTTCCCCAGCCTCGGCTTCCTCAGCTAGAAATGGAAAAGCTCTCAACCAAGTCTCAAAGGCCTTTGTGGGCATTGGAGGAGGGGACACACGTGAAGGCCTGGGGGCTGCCACTGGCAGGATGGCTGCTGTCCCTGTCCCCATCCCCGTGGAAGGGCTGAAGTGACTACACTGTGGTTAGTGTGTAAATAATCCGAAACACCGTGAATTTAAACGTCAGTCTGCTCAGATACATGTTTCTGTTTTTCGCCTGTCAGATCACATCCCTTTTTCAGTCCCTGCTGTTAATTCCTGTCACCTCCATCCTGACAGTGGCCTGGGAGGCAGGGGCTGGTGGGCAGAGCAGGTGGGCCGGTGGTCACTCTGGGCGTGTTCAGTTTGCAGAGACCTGTGTGAGCTTGGAGCCATCACCACCCACCACTCAAGGACCTCAAGAACTCAGAATGGATTTCATTCACCCACTGGGTCAAAGAACAAGCAGTGTCTGTCACCCTGGAGCTGGCAGGGGCCCATGCCCAGCCCTCGCTGGGTACAGGTACTGCCACGCCCCTCGGCTGCACCCCTCATGCCCACTGCGATGGTGCACCGCAGGGCTAGGCTGAGGCAGTGCGCCCTGACCTGTTTCACATGGCTAGAGTGTGGACGGTCCACGACAGCTCGGCCCCGGCCCCATCCTCACGGCCGTGTAAGAGTGATGGACTTGCAGTACAAACTGTCCCTCTTGCAATTTAAAAGCAAATGTTGCCAGAGGACACAT